ATCTTGGGAGAGCGGCTGTCCAGGTGAAAGGTGGGAGATGGCTTGAGGACTTTCCTGTGGAGAAACTGGAATGGGGGCTTCAAAGAAGTCGGAAGATCTTCAGTGTTGGCAGGGTCATGCTCTGCTATTGCAGGCATCCCTGCCTCACCACCTCGCTTGATTTGGTCTTTCCCGTGTGGACTGGGATTGCTTGAGGGTTCTGCGTTCTTATCTGCAGTATTCTCACCTGCTTTTGGAACCTTTTTAGATACATCAGTTTCACCCCATTCATTCCCATCATTTGACGGAATCTTGCCAGCCTCTTGCTTTTGTTCTTGCAAAAACGGATCTGCTAACTGTTTAATATTTTCTTCATCTTGTGCTCTTAGTTCCTTCATCTGTGGTCCACACTGAGCACTCTAATATTCTAACCACTTCACAAAGTCAGTGTTGTTCTTCCTATCGTCTTGAAGCTGGTCATCTTGTGGAAGAAACTCCTGAGGAAGCTCAATGAGTTCCTCCTTTAAAGGATAGATGCCTGCCCTCTGCTATGATATGTTGTTCTGTAATTTAACCATGTCATCCTGGCATCTCTTCCCCAGGTCTTCCCTGGCCTGCAGCTGGGTCCTGGTGGCTGTAGTCTGCCTCCTTCTGGTCGATCTTTTTCTGTGTGTGCAAATTCACCAAGAGCAGGTCCGAATTGTGTTTCTCCAGGCGACAGTGGGCCACCTGGGTGCACTGGGCCTGGCTCTGAAGCTCGGCCACTTCCTCCTGAAGCAGGACGTGGAGGGAGGAGATGCCCCAGTAATTGAAGGTGAGGATGGTGAACATCACCAGCACAGGGGAGGGCAGGGAGTCAGCCCGCTGGTTAGCCCCAAACCCTACCATGACACATCCCCAAAAACCTAGAAATAGGATTGCCCTGTGATCCAGCAGTCCCATGTAAGCACATATAGCTTTGATATCAGTGATACAGATAGACCGATACACACCTATGTTCTTTGTGGCATTATTCACAATAGCAAAAAGATTCAGTTATGGATATTTTCTAGACATAATCATATACCTTGAGGGATTGGTTTACTGCATGTGAAGGCTTAGAACTCTACCTTTGTGGGACAATTGCCACAATAGAGTTCATAGAGATAATGTTATAGATCCTACTTTGTTGAGTAGTGTACGGGTTTTTAAAGCTTATAGGGGACCATCTAAGGTAGGTACAACTATTGGTCTTTAATGGACCAGAGCAAAAGAGAATGAAAGAAAGTCAAAGATTCAAAGAAGAAACTATTTCTATAGATAGCCTACACAGACTATGACCTTATCTGCCTTTGGCTCAGAAGAACTAGATGGTGCCCAACCTCAATGACCATTTTGTCCAGAAACACAATAGATGGTCCTGGATAAAAATGTGTGAAAAATGTAGACCCAAACCTAGATTTCTAAAAATAAAGCCAAACTTATCGACTGGTAGAGACTAGAGGAAGCCCAATTCATGACCTACGAAACCACCCCCCAGCCCCGTTTTGTCAGCTATAATACCTTTTCAAATCTTCTGTATTGATATAATTTGATATCAATGGATTGACTCAGTGACTGCAATAATGGGCTCAAACATAACCATATTTGTGAAGAGGCTGCCGAATTGGGTAGTATTTCCCCTGCAGTACATAGGAGTTGCAATGACACAGGGTCAACGCAACAGTACCTTACAAGGTTCAGTTAAGGCGTCCCTGAGTTGCATAAAGAGCTAAGTGCATGGCTACTAATTGGAAGGGTGGTGGTTCCAGTTGACCCGGAAGTGCCTGAGAAGAAGGGCTCGGTGATTTGTTTCCATAAAGATTCACTGCCATCGGGTAAATACTGATTCATAACAACCTTGTAAGACAGGATAGAACTGTTTCTGAGACTGTGACTCTTTATAGGGAAGCCCCTTCTTTCTCCTGCTCCAGCCATGGAAATCCAATGGCACACAGTTCTGCTTTGCAACACATGTGATCACCATGGGTTGCAATCAACACAATGTCAACTAGTTTAAGGTTTTTGCTGTGCTCGGGGAAATTAAAGCCACGCTGTATTGTTAGAACTAATAATATTAACTTCAACTGCATGGTGAGATTGGGTAACATTTAAAGTATAGAAATTTAAAAGATTATAATAATCCAAGGCTTAACTCCAAGTATTGAGTTCTTGGAATAATTCAAAAGCTCCTAACACGGGGGAAGCCTTACCAAGTGAAATTGAAAAAAGGAGCAAATACCACAGTGTTTATCATATTTTTGCTCTCATTACAGGCTCTGAGCACTAAGACACACAGGGACAAAATATTGTGCAAACACAACAGAATCCCTTCCATTATTCCTTCTGGGGGCAGGGTGACAGGATTTAGACGCATTGTTTTCTGAGTAGACAGGGAAGAGAATGACAAGAGACAGTAAACAGAAAGAGATGATTAACCCAACTGTTTCTGATCGCTCAGCAGTCTCATCTTTAGATTCTTCGACACCTCTTCAGTTTGCATTTGTGGATGCACATCCTGGGTGTTTGTACGTATGTGCTTTGCTTACCTGACGAGTCTGTAAACTTGAAGACAGCACAAAGGTGTCAGAGGGAAAAGTACAAGTGAGAGGAGAAGACGCTAGAGACGGTGAAAAGAATCGAAGAGTAAAGGAACAGGAGCCATTCGGTAGAGACTTGACCGGGATCTCAGAAGGCATCTGTCTCCTCTGTGGTCAATGTCTACTCTGTGGTCCTCCACCAGGCTTCCTGTGTTGTCACTCTTGGGGCAAGGTACTTCTTCCTCCTTGTTTCACTCTGTTCTATTTTGTTTCCGTTGTCTCTAAAATATACAACACCGGGACCATTTCTACTGTGTTGAGTGTCATCTGATCCATTGCTTCTCATCGGATCCAGCGGACCACCAGTTGAGGATAGAATCAGAAAGAAGAGAATTTTCCAGCCACAATGCTGGTAGTTATAGCTTCTGCCTCTTAGGAATTTGCAGTTGGTAAAAGCTACAAGTTTAACCCAAGTATGTTGCTCTTTATTTTGAAAACTGTGCTCTCCTTAGAAGCAACACCGCTTCTCCATTGCTAGCTTCATTAGGAGCTATCACATATTTTATCCCCTATACCTCAAACACACTGCCATCCAGTCTATTTTGACCCATCGTCACCCTCTAAGAGAGAATAGAAAGCTCTCAGGGTTTCTGAGACTATAGATTTGGACACAGGCAGATGGCCTCACTGTTCTCCTATGGAGCAACTGGTGAGTTTGAACCACTGACCTTATGATTAGTAATCCAATTTGTAATCCACTGTACAATTGAGACTTTTGTCTATTTCCTATAAGGTAACATCAACTCATTTTGCCAGTTCTTGATGCAGTAAACGTTAGGCGCCCAGGTATATTACAATAATATAGTTTATGGGTTTGAACAGAAGGTGCAAAATGTATGTTCTAAAGCGGTGGTAAGTTGTGAAACCGTAATGAAAATAAAGCATTGTTAGGTAATGGTAGAGTGGGTCCTTATTGCTAGTTGCGCTACTTTAATTGCGTGGTCTTCTGGCCAGAAAGAGTTATGCCACACATAAGAGGTCGCAATTCGATACTTTTTGCTTGTCCTGGGCAGCTCTATGTCTCTCTCAGGATGGCTTTCATGTGTTTTGTTGTTGTTGTTGTTTTCTTACAGTGTATCAGACCATTCTTATACACTCCACTGACAGTGTATTTTCCATTGGTTGGCTTTTGTCTTCATCAGCAGAAATGGATATACTGGACTTCAGGGTTGAGTAGTTTGAGGTAGGCATTATCTGGATGGTCTGAGCAAGTTTGTGGGGCAGGTGGACACGACTAGAAAGGACCTTGGCTTTAAAGCTTGCATTTCTACCTCCGAATGTAGCTTCCAAAGCATGGGTCGTGTAGCGCTCTGCATCTAATAGCCTCCCTGCCTTCTTTATCCGTCCTAGCTTGAACACAGCTAAAGCTACGGTGATCATTGTCCCAGAAACCCTTTCATCTCAGAGACTAGTACCACCATCCAGATGTCCAGGCCAAACACTCGGATGCCATCCTCCCCTTTTACCAACCCATCACCGATGCTGCCTCCCTATAATCAATCTAGTACCAAGTCGTGTCCATTTTAGGCTCAAAGCACGAAATATGTTCTCTTCCCTTCTGTCTGCATGCAAAGCACCACTCACACTCCTCTCTGAGGTAGTCTCTTCACTTAGCTTCGCATTTTCCGTCCTGCACACCTTCACTCTATTCTCTCAAGTTGCAACCAGCATGCTCTTTGTATAATACGAGTACAATTCTATTGTCAATGTCATGCCAGCCTTTTGTTGTTGGTACTTCAAAGCCATCCCACGGCTCTTAAGATAAAAAGCATAGCTTTGAAGATGACAAAGTTTAGTATGTAGCAAGGACGTCTCTATTCCCCGTATATTAATCTATGCCGTGCAGTCTCACAGGCATTTCCACGTTTCTTGAAATACAGTAAAGCTCTTCCCACATGCTGCTCCCTGTCTCTGGATCACTCATTAACCCGCACCTTCACAATCCACTCCAACAATGGCTCCGTCCTCCCACCCACCCCCATGCACGTGTTACTTCCTTGGGGATAATTTTCCCAGCCATCCACATCTTCTCTTTTATAGCACCTTCGTGGCTATTATTATTATTAGCACTTACCACTTTTGCAATTTTACACATACATGTGGAATTCTTTAGAGGTACTTTGGTGGCTCTGTCAAGGAAGTGTTGCACTGCCAAACTCAAGATCAGCATTTCAAACCCACCAGCTGCTCTGTGGGAGGAAAAGGCTTTCTGCTCCCTGAAGAGTTCCAGTCTCTGAAACTCTGCATGGGGTCTCTAAGAGTTCACTCAACCGAATGGCAGTGGAGTTGTTGTTGGACAGAATGATGGAAGTTCCTTCTCTCTCAACAGAGGTTCCACCCTTGCCCACCCTCCTTAGCCCACATGGATGCTTGTGCTTCCTTCCCTCTACCAGTTGTACTCACCACTGGTCTGAACAAAAAGGTTGTAGATTTTAGTCCAAGTGCCCTCTGGATAGAGAGTAAAGCTGCACTCATACTTTCCGCTGAGTGAGGAAGACAGGTTCCTTAAATGCAAAGTCCACCTTAACACGTTGTGGGGCATTTCCGTGAAGGACACCAGGGACTCACAGGGACTCTTCTTGGCACAGCAGAAGCCATGCTGAGGGTGATAAACGGCAATCAGGTTCCTGTGCGTTGGGACCTTGGACCATTGCATCTGCACCAGGAAGGCCGTTTTCCTTGTTTGACAGGTCAGGTTGACTTCAGAACCAGGTAAGGCATAAACATCTTCACCTGCATTGATTGTTTCTTCCCACACTCCTGAAAATGAAGGAAATCTGTCATCAACTGCCATAGAGTAACTCTCTTAAAAAAAATTATTTTATTGGGGACTCGTATAGCTCATCACAATCCATCCATCCATCCATTGTGTCAAGTACCTTTGTACATATGTTGCCATCATCAGTTTCAAAACATTTTCTTTCTACTTGAGTCCTTGGTATCATCTCATTTCCCCCTTCCCCTACCCCTCCTCCCTCATGAACCTTTGATAATTTAGAAAATTTTTTTTCATGGCTTACACCAACCCCTATCTCTCTTAACCCACTTTTCTGTTGTCTGTCTTCCTGTACAGGGTTGTATGTCGATCATTGTAATCGGTTCCCTCTTTCTCTCCTCACCTTCCCTTTCCCCTTCTGGTATCACTACTCTCCTTATTGGTCCTGAGGGGTTTATCTGTTCTGGATTCCCTGTGCTTCCAGCTCTTATCTGTACCAGTGTACATGCTTTGGTCTAGCTGGATTTGTAAGGTAGAATTGGGGTCATGATAATGGGGGGGGGAGCATTAAAGAACGAGAGGAAAGTTATTTGTTTCCGTGGTACTTTACTGCCCCCCCTGACTAGCTCTTCTCTTCCTTGTGACCCTTCTGTGAGAAGATGTCCAATTGTCTACAGATGGGCTTTGGGTGTCCACTCCACCCTCCCCCTCATTCACAATCATATGATTTTTTGTTCTGGGTCTTTGATGCCTGATACCTGATCCCATCAACATCTCATGATCACACAGGCTGGTGTGCTTCTTCCATGTGGGCTTTGTTGCTTCTCTACTAGATGGCCACTTATTTATCTTTAAGCCTTTAAGACCCCAGATGCTATATCTTTTGATAGCCAGGCACCATCAGCTTTCTTCACCACATTTGCTTATGCACCCATTTTGTCTTCAGCGATTATGTCGGGAAGGTGAGCATCACGGCATGCCGGGTTATTAGAACAAAGTGTTCTTGTGTTGAGGGAGAACTTGAGTAGAGGCCCAATGTCCACCTGCTGCCTTAATACTAAACTATAAATATATGCACATAGATCTGTTTTCCTATCATTATATTTAAATATATTTACATATGTACATGCCTGTATTTAGACCTCCATAAAGGTCCTTTGCCTCCTAGTTCTTTCCTCTGTTTCCTTTTACTTTCCTCTTGACCCACCATCATGTTCGGCCTTCATTTGGGTTTCAGTAATTCCTCTTGGCTACGCTGTCCTTGATCAAGCCCCACCAGGCATCCTACACCATCCTTGTCATAAATTCTGTATCACTTGTTGTTCGCTTGTCCCTGGGATTGTTGGCAGCCCCCTTCCTTCCCTCCCTCTCCTCCTCCCCCTCTCTCGCATAGAGTGACTTTTAATCGACAACCCCGATTTGTTTGCTGAGGTGAAGGCACAGCAGAGGAGGCTCCTCCCTGGCAACCCTAGTGGCAGAAGAGAGCATTCTGCATGGTCCTCCAAGAGGAGCGAGAGACTCACTGCAAACAAGGGAGCATCGGCTTAGGGACGCTGGAAGGAGTTAGACTTTTGAATATCTAACATTGTCCATTGAACTGTCCTCAAAAAAGAATAGAATAAAAGCTTAATAGGACAGTCCACTAGCAAAACTTATTAACACAACCCTTCTTAGATTTGGAGGTGGGTGAGCAGTGGAAGTCAGGGGTAGAATCATTGTTTACCAAGTTCGGGACCTCATGCCCAGCCACAACCCGACTGTCAGTGGAAGTTTGCATTCCATGTTATGTTGCACAGGGTCAACAGAGCTTCCAGACTAACACAGGCTGGGAAGAAAGGCCTGGTTATCTCCTTCCCAAACCAGCCCATCAAACCCCTCTGGATTTCTCCTGATGCCCTCCACAGCTGATTGCAGGGATGGCCCAGGGCTGGCGGCACTTGCTCCATTGCATGGGCTCCCTGTGGGTTGCGAGCTGATGCAACAGCCGCTAACAGCAACATTTCTTGTTGAATATCATTGACTTTTCTTTGGTTATAAATCAACCGCTGAATACCATACCCACTGCTACTTTCAGAAATGGCGCACATATCTGATGTGTGTAGCAGTTTCCTGGAGGCACTGACAAAGGGTTTTACATATCTTATTTCATTGAATTTTTCTCACGCAGCGGATGAGTGATGCTTTTAATCCCACGTATCAACACAGTAACCAAGATATTAGATGATTTGCTCGAAGCCACAGCTCCAATAAAGGAACATGAATTCATTTGTCCAGAGCCTTTACACCTTCCACAGACTCCAACCTGCCACCCAAATTCAGTTAGGAAATTTGACATGCAAATTTCTGAGATAGGTAGAAATCAAAAGATTCTCTATGTCTTAAGTCTCCTGAGAGATGATGGAGGGGAGACACTATCTCAGGTAGAGATTCTATGAATGATGGGCTGTTTGGTTCTTATAAGCAACTCTCTGAAATTCTATACCCCAAAGAAAACTGTCTCTCATTGATTCTTTTACCAAATGGCACAGGGCACTTAAAATACGCTCCCCACCGAGCCTTTCACATGTCCTCCACAGTGGGGGCCTCGGTTTCAGAAATAACATGGAATACTGAGACAGCAATGATATATCATTGTGACCAGTACCACCAAAACCCATGAAGAGAAATGATAAAAAAATGACAAGCAATTGAGAAGAAACAAGGCTTTCAAAAGCACCTGACAAACGGGAATTATTGCACCTTTATGGAAGCCAAAGTTTGAGGAGGCAGACGTTAGTGCAGTTTGATATAGCTGAGCTGCCTCGGAGCTGTCCTTTGCCTGCTAATATGATCTTATCTATGGAATTGTCTTCCAAAGTTCTCTTTGATTTGAATCGCCTCCTTCAAAAGCTTCATTCTCACTACCTCTGAAAAGCACAGTTAATTTGAAAGACACTCCGGCTCCCTGTAAGACTCACCTATACCTTCTACCTTCCATTTTTAAACAGGCCCGTTAGGCACTGGTTCCCAGGATAAGGACCCACTTGGTCTCCTAGGTCTCTAACCACACAGACCTCATTCCAGCTCAACCTACGTCCAACTCCCCAAGACCTCAGCATTTTGGAGGAGAAATGCTTGCTCTATCAAAAACCCGTGGGGTCCGTGAGAGAAAACAGTTTCCAAAGGATCTGTGAGCGGTGATGGCTCGGTGGTTATTTTTTCCCTTTCTTCTTTTTGGCGAGTACCCTGGAGCTGTTTGGACTCCCCGTCAGAGAGCATTTCGTTTCTAAGAAGCACCATTTCCCAGTCACCCCAGAGATCCTCCTCAGAAGGAGACGGGTGAGAGTGCCCCTGAGCAGTGGCCCACACCAACCATTACTCCCGTCTTGTTTGTAGCGTTTGCCGTAAGCATCTCTATCCTCCGACATCTCTCCGCTAGCTGCCACTTAAATGCATAGCTGAGAACCGTAGCGAGGATCTGCCCTTTGCCGATCATTTCAGCAGCAGGCACGAGGCATTTTCAATGAACTGAGGGGACTCCACTTGCCCCGAAAGCACTGATCTCACGAGAAAGACAACGGGGAGGCTCACCCCTGAGGAAATGGATCTGGATGATGGCACACATGACGCAGTAAGTCCACTTCGTCTCCATTGTCTCCCGAAGGCCTCACATCAGCGCGTCCACAATGATCACAGAGGCCAACTGCTGTCTCTCCCTCAGCGAACCCCAGCAACCTGATTCGTGCTAACAAAACCCCAAATCTACCACAAGCCTGTGGGTGTTCTTCACTCGGCTGGACCCCAGGAAATGAGACGCAGACAGGAAGGCAGTGTGGTTCAGAAATAAAAGCATAACCTGACACAGGATAGCGTGCATTCCAAAATCTTGTGTGTCACCTTCTTTTAGAGACTGCCCGGCACCCAGAGATTGGACTCTTCAGAATCGCTGTGTCAATCAAGCAGCTTTTACAGTGTAAACACAGGAAATCGTGCACAGCCACCATTTGCACATGTGCTTTTTAGACTCTTCGGTTCAAGAGCACAAAGTCATTTCACAAATGCAAGCTCGGGGCCTCTGGTAATGGTTTTCCTGTTCAATTTTTCAAAGTGTTTTCTTTCCGGAATTGCTCCAGGGCGTAAGAGCAAGGAGAGAACACATTTCATTTTAATACAATCTGAAAAAGAACCGAGAGTAGCATCCGATATTAAGCTGGATTTTAATTTCTCCCTTCCTCTATGGAAGGAGTCCCTGGGCAGTGGAAATGGTTCTGCATTTGACTATGAAGCACAGGTGGTCAGCTTTAAGTCTATCCAGAAGCAACTCAAAAGAAAGGCCAGGCCATCTGTTTCCAAAAGTTTACATGCTTGAAAATAACTGCTGAGTGTAGCTCTACCCTGATATGCCCCGGCTGTCTTGAGTCAGAATCAACCCCACAGCAGTGAGTTTTGTTTAAGTGAGAAGGGAGGGCTCATTTTTAATCCCTTGTTGGGATAATCTGGAGATCAGACAGAGAAGAGTCCTAGGGTGGCTGGATGCCTGGTGGGAATTGCTTCTCTGTGTCTTTGTCAACAGGCAGGTAGAACAAGGCAGTGACGGTCAGAATGCAAAGGCAGAGAAACTTCCAGTCCAGCCAGGTATTCTGGTCTGTCCACCTAACCATCCACTTACAGAGGGCTGAATTGGGCTGCAAAGAAGTGGCTCCGTGGTCAAAATATCTGGCTGCTCATGAAAGGACTTGACAACCATTTCATGCCAGATAATGATTGTATTGCTTTTCCCGCTTACAATGAAACAGTCCAGCACCTAGCCCCCATGTACTGATATTAAAAAGAAAAACAAAAAGACGTTAGGCTAAGATCTAGAGTATGCATTTAAGGCAGAGAATAGTTTTACCAGATTAATAGTTAAGATAGTTTTACCAGATTATCATCACGTATATGTTAACCCCTCCTGTGTGAGAACTTTTGGGTGTGGAGGATGTAGATAACATTCAGATGCAATGTAGAGTCAGTGCCGCTCAGGAGATGAGACTTTAGCAAGTGAGAAGGAAATGTTCACACAATGGAACGAAGACTGCGGTCTCCCTTAATGTCCAATCTGCCGCACACCTGCATTTATGGATTGATTTGTATCCTCAAAAAAAAAGTTGAATTCTTAATCTCTGTTGAACCTGTGGATATGAGCTCATTTAGAAAGGAGGTATTTGCAGACAGAACTAGTTAAAATAAGGTCAGATTGACGTAGCGTGGCCCCTAACCTCTTTTTGACGGATGTCCTTACCAGAAAACTGAGGGCCACAGGAAGCCAGCCATGGGTAGGTGGAGGCAGCAGGGTAGGTAATGCTGCCACAGCCAGTGCATACCAGGGACCACCAGAAGCTAGAAGAGGCCAGAAAGGGTCCCTACCCTGGAGCCTCCAGAGCGGGTGATCCTGCCAGCCCGAGTTTAGGACTTCTAGCTTCCAGAACCAAGAGATTAGACATTTCTGTTCTGTTTCCTCCCTCGTTTTGAAAGTTGTGAAATATGTGGCTCACGTTTCAGATCCTCATTTTCGTATTAAAAAATTCAAGCTACTCACCAAACCTTAAAGATTGGGCTGCTAACCCTGAGGTACGCAGTTTGAAACACCAGCTGCTCCACAGGAAAAAAAGGCATGGCTTTTACTGCTGGACCAAGTTACAGTCCCAGAAAACACAAGGGCACTTCTACCCTGACCTATAGGGTCACTATGGGTTTGGGTTTGCTTAATCCACCCCCACCCCCATCCCCTTTGAGTTCTCTGCCCTCGAGTGCATCTTACTATCTCCCCCTTCACTCAAGGTACATTGCGTGCTTTGCACCCACCCAGTTTGAAGCAGCTTGTTGCAGTAGACCTAGAAAATGAGTAGAATTGTGAATACTCACCACGGAGATTATTGTACTTATGACTACTCAGGTCATGAAACGGCTAAATCATGGGATGACATTTCCTGACTCAGGGCTGCCCAGCTCTCTATTTCCTCCTGAAGTTTCTGATCACCACTGGTTCCGTCCTGGTGGGGCTGACAGTGATCTTTTCGGGGATCGCTAAAGAGCTACCATTCCTCGGTAGACTGGTCAGAGGTTACACCATTGCTATAGGCACCTTTCTTTCTTTCATTCTTTCTTCCCACTAAATTCTAGTTAATCGAACAGATGGAACACAGAGGCAGCAGACCAGAGACACACCAAGAAGTCCTAATCTGCAAATTGGTCTTCCTACCAAACCGAGAAGCAGTATGAGTTTAGAGAAGTGGCTGAGCTACCTCACTTCCGTGGCCATATTAGGAGGGATTCGCCTACGTAGAAACCAATACAATCTAACCTTAGTGAATTTACTTAGAAGAGCATCCTCCTTCGGAGTATTGAAAGATTTCTGATCTCCTCCTATTTTAAATTGAAGCAGCTCTTAATTTTTTCCCCTCAAATACAGAAAAAAGAGAAATGTCGGTGTATTTCCCAGAGCTAGACTAATGTTTAAGAGAGGCCCTGCATATTGGTGGGGTGGGGAAAGCTGGCCAAAGCTACCCATTCCGGGTGTTATTCAGGACCTGGTACATGGAAGGAGTGCGGGGAAGAGTCGTTTAAACCTAGGAAACTCTGGGAACTGTAGCCAGGAGACTAGACTAACTGGAGCCATCCTGATGCCCACTGAGTACTAATTGAACTACCTAGTGCCCTGCAGCTGCACCACCTGCTTAGCAACCCCTCCATAGCCGTTTGCATGCAGCAGGGGGCAGCAACGTCCCACAGACCAGCCCTGGCATCGCAGGTGATGGAATTGCCCCTACCATTTCTCAATCTTGGTGATGTTTTCTAAAGGCCCTTTCAGCATGGGGATAGATATTCTTCTCTACTTAAAAATAACCCCCCCCCCCCCAAGGAACTCCTGTCAATCTCTTCTCCTATCCTCCCTGCTCGACAAATCCCGAGCGCACAGCACATCCGCGGCCGCAGATGACAGTCTGCCGCGTGTAAAGAGACAACAGACACACACCAAAAGAATTCTTGAACTTCGCGAACTTCAGAGGCAAATTCAATTATTTACAAAGGGAAGCAGGAACACACATTATTTCTGCTGGAGGCAAGCTACGGTTGTGTGGTTTGTACAAACTTTTAAAAAGCTCTTTTTAAACACCCTCAATGAGAAAAGGACATTTTCAGAAGTAAGAGGTTGAGAAAAAGGTAAAATTCTTTTTTGTGGTCTTCATGGTGGTTAACGATTACTGATTGGTTTAGGATGCTAATTTTTGGTCACTTGTTCTAAAAGTAAAATTGCAGAGTGGTGTGCTGCTGTATATATTTAATTTTTATCAAAATGCTTAGAAAATAGGGTGCTCAGTATTTCAATTAATTGAAAAATATTTGTTGTCCACCAAAAATAGTTTCATACACAAGGGATTACTGAAGAGCCTTTGTTCTCGGTAGTTTTAAATAACAAAGGATACATGATTGTTTTAATTGGGATCGTTGACTCTAACCTTGAACAATGTTGAATTGGAAAATGTTTTGTTAGCTATATTTTTATGACAATGAATAATACAATTAAAAAATACAAAGCATAAGACATAGGTCTTATTCTTAAAGCACTTATTTAGCTGAGAAGAAAGCCTCCCCACGTATTAAAAGAGGCAGGTAACATCAGGCCCACAATTGAATAAGTATACATGATTTTAGGAAAAGGAGAAATGTCTTTGAGGTCAATCATGCCAAGTTCAGTGTGGAAGCTGAACTTGGCTTTCTGCATAGCCGTGAGCTTAATGAGAACCATAAGTCAAATCATGCAGGCAGAGTGGAGAGTAGGCGTCGGCACGCGAGATTAGAGACATCCAAAGCCAATCAAGCAGGTTGTAAAGCTGCTCTTTCCTTAGAGCAGATGCTTTGGGTATGACTTGCAACAAACAAACCCATCGAAGGGTATAGAGAGCTTTGAGTTCGAGACTATGGAGGGTAGAATTTTGTTTGTTTGGTTTGTCAGAGCTGTATTTTTTTTTAGTAAAAGAATAACATTTATAGAACATGGACAAAGAAAAATTTTAGTTGGATGGATTGTGTGGAAATCGCAAGGAGGAAAGGGCTGCAGAAAGCCCATGACCAAGCCAGGTCTCACTGGGAATGACTCAAGGTGACCCCAGGGTGCTCCAAGGGACCTCTGGATGCATTTAAACCACATACTTAGCCACGGGCTTAATCGTTTGTGCCATCCTCAAACTCTATGGGCTTTTCCTCTGCTGTTTTTGTCTGTTTGTTTCAGTCACTTTAGGATGAGGACCTGCTGATGGGCAGTTATAGCAAAGTGTGATGTAAGCAGGGCAAGGCAAAGGAAGAGTGGTGAGGATCAGCATTCAATTGGACATGATACTTTTAAAAACCTCTGAAGTTTTCAAACTCAGAATAAAGAGAAAGGGACAAAGGAGTTGGATTTTTGCTGTTCAACCAAGAAGCCATTGTCAGTGAATCCTGAAAGGCTGATTCATTAAAAGTAAAAAGGGAATGCAGAAGATACAGGTCCTATAGCAAAATGTGGCAAAGAAATTAGATGGTGCCCAGCTATCAGACAGAGTAGTGTCTGGGCTCTTAAAGGCTTGTCTCCAAACAAGTAACCATCTAAATGAGATGTCAACTACGTCCATATGAAGAA